TACATGTAAAAACTATATTAACATGTTGCTTTATTAGCGTGTTAAATACACAGAACCTTCTGTAAATGATCTTAAAGAACTTTGCAAAAATTCTAAGATCAAAACCACCCATAAAGCGATATAAATGTGGATCAGGGCTGTAGAGGAGTTCTGGTTTGAAGTAGAATATGAAGGAAAGATTGAAGAGATTGATTCTAAAGCAGTATTAGAAGACCAGCTCTTCAAGTTCATATATGCAATGAAGAGAAAGGACGGTGGGAAATACTATGCTAGTTCCATAAAGAGCTGTTTGGCAGCAATTTGGCAGTACCTCAACATGCATTCAGTTATGGAAAAACCAGTAGATATACTTAATCCAAAGATATACTTCAATCTAAACCAAGTAATTAATGAAAAATTGAAGACTCTCTCTGAAAAAAGCTTGGGTGAATGTTCCAGGGCTGATGGCCTTATGTTAAATGAGGTCGAGCAAATCTTGGACCACCCAAGATGCAACGTAATACACCTGAAAGCTTATTACGAAAGATCTTTTTTTATAATGTGATGTTGTTGGCTTTACGTGGAGATAAACATTATTCTCTCCAAATCAATAGCTTTATTAAAAGGTTCAACAGTAGAATTGACGTAAAGCTTTATAAATCTAAAACTAACCAACGAGGGCTTGAAAATTATGATGCGCAAGCAGAAGTAATCAGCTTACCTAACATTAAAAGCATCATCGATGATTATAAGTTTTATTTTGTCAGGTGCCTGACAATGACGGTTACAAATTTTTATCTAATTCCTGCACCTTCAGACTCAGGTAAAATTTTTGTTTCGTTGGTTAAACAATCTCATACTGTAAATGTATATTTACTAACTTTTTTTTACTAGTCAAATTTAATGGACAATGATATTACGCCTGTGCTCTTGGTGAGCAAAAGTTGAGAGAATATTTTAAGGGCATAAGTGAGATTACAGGCATTCAAATAGGAACCCAAAATATTTCGAATCACTCTGGAAGAAAACCGCCGTACAATTGTTGAAGGAGCTTGAATACTCTGATTCGGTCATGATGTCGATTACAAGGCACAAGTCTCAAAAAGGTCTCGCCGCGTATAAACGCCCAAAATCCGTAATGCAGCATGAAGGTTTGAGTAGATTTTTCAATGCGTTAAAACAAGTTTCAAAAAGTATGTTACTTCGTTTTTGTTAAGATTTTTTAAAGCATTACTAATTAAATTTTTTTTTTATAAAGCTTCTAGTGACCATGAAAAAGATGCCCCCAGTGATTATGAAAACGACACCCCCAGTGATTATGAAAATGATGCCCCCAGTGATCGTGCTGCCCTCAATGATCTTGCTGCCCCAGTAATCATGCTGCCCCCAGTGATCGTGCTGCCCCCAGTGACCGTGAAGCCTTCAATGGCCATCAAAAAGTAGCCCCAATAACTGGCGATTTTGCACTTGCAAGTGCATACATTCGAAGGACCGATTCCCAGATGTCATTGGTTAATGTGCTTGATAATCTTGAGGTATCTCCCGACGAATTGAGTTATGTATTGGCTGAGCATGATGTGAATATTCTTGAAAAGGACGCTCAAAAAGTGAAAGCTAAGGATGTTGAAAAGGATGGGCAAAAAGAGGAGGCTAGAAACGTTAAAGATTTCAAAAATAAGGAATTTGTTGAAAAATTTCTTACTGGAAATACTTTCAATTATTGTACTTTTAATTTTTAAATATTAAAATTGCATTATAATTGATAATTTTATTTGTAATTGCTTAATTTTTTATATATACAATATTGTCGCTTAAATTATAACAATTTCGAGTTATTTTGGCCCAAATATTGGTTTTTTGCCGAATAATAATGGCCCGAATATTATGTTATTTGTACAAATGGTAAATATTCGGCATTACGTCATTTTGCGTTAAAAAATAACAGTACGTTGCTGCGCCATGATCATATGAGTTTGTCGGATAAGATAATTTAGCTTAACCGGGCAAATGATTGGTGTACGTACCGTGAAACAGCACGTGTTCATTTGCCCCTGTTTACCAAATTACCGTTATTCGAAAAATTTTGCCCGATATTGTATGCTTATTACGTAAGCACAACAATCCCGAATTAAATCTCAGTTAGCCAACCACAACTTATAAATCATGAATATTATTGCACAATAACATCGATATTGGATCATGCGCAGGGTTGTTAATTTACCGTAATTTTAAATTTTTGTGGTAAATTACCTGAGCTATTCGGTAAATTACCTGTAAATTTGCCTTTAGCTATTTTGAATAATAAAGTTTGTGTAACATAAATCATGTGATTTGACGGCTAAAAATTTTTTTTAGCCAATCAAATTATATTATTTGCAGATAGATCTATGAATATAAGGTAAATTTACCACACCTTCGGTAAATTACCTGGTAAATTACCGTAATTTATTTACCAACTGACAACCCTGATTAAGATAACCTATTTTAATCTTTTAAAAGATTCAAAACTTAGTACATGTATGTAAAAATATATACTGTATAATAACATTAAAGTTTGGACATGCTTTTAACATGTTTATATATTTGGATGTGACATGCCAAAAATGCTTTGAACATCAAAAATGTACAACATTGCGGACCGATATGCACAATTGAGAAAATTTTATTATATATATTTATACATTTCATTGATAGATGTTCTATCGCTACGTATAGTTACACAGGTTTTCTTTTTGAATACATTCACACGGAGTTCAAATTTAAAGGAAAGCAAAATAGATATAACATGAATTAAAATGTATATCATTGTCAATTTTAGGGCCAAAAATTTTTAGTTACAAGTGCCTGAACAAAATAATTATTCCTTTTTACTATTAAGTAGTTTGAAGAAGACCTTTATTTATCCGAAAATGAATGTAATTACGAAATGTTGTTGTTGCATTCCTTTGAGGACAGGTGTTATTATTATAACACTGTTTTGGCTGGAAAGTATTTATTTTATTACAGCACATAAACTGTTTAACTCCTTAAATGCTGATAAATATTAATAATATTCAGGTTGTAGGAATAGGTTATTCCATCAATGACACATTCAGTATCGTGAACAACAATGCCTGTAAGTTTGTTTTTTCATCTAATTCACTTTTTATTTGGCAGCCAGTATCAATGTTTTTATTTTTTCTGTACCAGTCGTTGAGAAAGGTCTATATTCTATTGCTATAGTTGTGGATACTCTATTGTGCTTAGTAGCCGCTTTTGGTTTGTTTGCTATTTTCGTTGTGGTATGTGATGTTTAAATTTAAAATCTTAAATACTAAAAGATTAAATTAACTAAGTTGTTTATTTTAAAACAAACAGAAAACTTCATATCATTTAAAGCTCTATGCTCGATTTGTTTATGCTCATATAATACTCAGATCTTTGAGCTTTCTCTATATCGTTGTTGTCTTTGCTTCATTTAAAAATGATTTTATGAACTTTTGTAAAACATCTGGCAACCAGAATAATGTCGATGAAAACCAGATTACTCGCGCTTGTAATATTAAATATATTAGCTTTTTATTAATATTCATCTTTATAGGCGTTTTTGTCATTATTATTACGGTATAGTTGTTTTTTTTTTTCGAATTTTAATTAGATTTAATTTTAAACATATATATATATTAATCAAAATTTTGATTGCTATAGATTTATTTTGCAATGGTCATTAATGCTTATGCAGAAAATCGTAAGGCTAAAGAAGATGGTAATTACATTCCATCTGATGTTATTGAAACGCCTGGATCCAACCTTTATAGTTAAAGTCGGGAAAGTTGAATTATTGGTCAAAAATTTAACATAGAATATTTATCATAACAGATAATTTAGGTATCTTCGAATATTTATATTATAAAGCTTGTAACCTAAACGTTAAACTCCTTTAAATATGCTTGTAACCTAAACGTTAAACTCCTTTAAATATTATTCCATAAATTCACTATTTCATTTAATTCGTGTGTACAAAACTTATACAATAAAGGAAGAAGACACGTACATACGTGCATAGATTGGCCGAAATCTAAAAGTTATCTAATGCGTATATGTCGGACTTATTGCAAATTAAAAAAGATTTCTTGGAGAATAATTTAAACATAATGTTATTACAAGAACTTCCTTTAAAGAGTTGGTGAGTTCATTAAATGCTTCCAGACTCATGGCAAGATAATTTCCCTTACATCCTATACATATTTATAATTTCTAGTTAAATCTTTTTACTGCAATTTGAAATGTCACATATAGTTTAATGACTAAATTTCGTGATATTAGTTCTCTAAAAATGGTGTTACCTAAATGACTAGAAAGCTAATCACGCACATTCATTCAATTATGCATTTGTTATGTTGTTATACATCGCTGACCACGTTTTTTATAAGCTAAATTCGGAAAAATAATAATCTCAAAATTAAGATAATCATTCATATTATCATTAAAAAGCTTTTAAAAAATCTATGCTTAGGCCGCTTGCAGTTAAAGTTTCGTTTAACGTTATTTTTTTCATATTCACGGGGGGGGGGGGAAGGGGGAAAATTAAACAAACATAAAAAATAAAATATAGTATACCGAAAATCCCGAATATAATCGAACAATTCCGATCGCTGTGCCGACCATTACACTAACTAATTTGTCATCTCTATTTGTTTAATTTTAGGGGGGAGCTCAGGGGATGGAGGGGGGATAACGTTAAACGAAAGTTTAACTTCAAGCGGCCTTAAGTTAAAATAAATTGAATAATAAATAGACAGGTTTCGAAGATTTTAGCAAATAGTAAAGTTGATTTTTTAAAAAAAAATTAAGTCATGCGGGATTTGTTGCGTCGCACAAATATTGACAAGGCAGAATTTTAGTTGTTTTTTTTTTTTTACTGTGTACCATAACGATGGATACACCTGTTCACTTGATCAAAATTTAAATGATCCAAACTCATCAAATAATGATTGAATTGTTTGGTAATTTGTGGAAGTGTAAGCGCAATACCGTAATTGGTCATAATTATTATTATTACGATCAATTACGGCATTGCGCTCACACCTCTAATAATTTAGGACTCTAATAGAGTTTAAATAAAATAAGTTTAATCATTAGTGGACATTAAAAACATCATTGAAAGTTTATAGTTACTATTACTGCTGTTGGGTGAAACCATTTTTGGCAAATGGCGAAAGACGAAACTAAACCCGGCAAAGACAAAAACGGCGAAACCTTGGCGAAACGGCGAAATCTTAGCAAAACGCGAAATCCCGGTGAAAACCTGGTAAAGGTGAAACCCCAGGAGAAAGTCAAAATTGGGAAAAGATCAAATCCTTTAAGACTTTGGAAAAGACTGAGCCATGTTAGTAAATCAAAATCTTTTGTGCATAGCTATTAAGCATAGCGTGTGGCTTATATAAAAGAAATATATAAACAAAGCGTAGCTTTTTGTTGCATTCGAGTATTATTTAAAAAAAAAATAGACTTCAGGCTTTTAAACTTATAATTAAATCAACCCTGTCTTGAAAATTCCGAGCCTGAAATCTTATTTTCTTTTAGAAGCGCTTATCTATGTATTAATTAATATTATTCATGTAAATAAACCTTATCTAAAAATTTAAATAAATTTTATTGTTGAACTGTTAACACTTTTTTTCTTTACTGTTTCGTTGTTAAAGCTTTAAGTACCATACATACAGTGCCTGACAAAAGTTTTTCCGCACCCAATAGAGTTCTCAGTTTCTTGTGCATAAAGAATGTAATGAATGTGATCATCTATACGTTTTACGGAATAGTCAGCCTCCTGTATCACGTACACTGGCAATCATAAGTAGTGCAACAAAAAAAATTTTTTACTTAGATCGCATTATTTCCCGCAATTCTGGGTGTATCCTTTTATT